CAGTGCTGTCCAATTTACTCAGACAGTGCCGTCCCATTTACTCAGACAGTGCTGTCTCATTTCCACAAGCAGTGCCGGTCCAGTATACCTGACTCGGAACATTTCCATAAATTAGGTCACAGCTATTAGGTCACAGCTATTACTATACAGGAAATAACTTACAGCAACATTCAAAGTTTTGTATCGACTAACAAATAATGATTGGTTGTTGCGCACAATAAGTTGGTTTAGTGGTTGGTAATAGCAAGGTTAGGTGGTGCGCAATAAGTTGCTGTAGTTGTGCATCATAGCAAGGTTAGGTGGTGCGCAATAAGTTTGTGTAGTTGTGCATCATAGCTAGGTTAGGTGGTGCGCAATAAGTTGGTGTAGTTGTGCATCATAGCTAGGTTAGGTGGTGCGCAATAAGTTGGTGTAGTTGTGCATCATAGCAAGATTAGGTGGTGCGCAATAAGTTGGTGTAGTTGTGCATCATAGCAAGGTTAGGTGGTGCGCAATAAGTTGGTGTAGTTGTGCATCATAGCTAGGTTCGCAGTGCGCAATATGTTGGACAGGAATTCGTTTCTTTCTTATTCGTTTTTTTTCCAAATAGTTTCTTCTGATATGTTTGTGTGTAGTATCATATTTGTGTGTAGTGTAATGTTTGTGCGTAGTATCATAATTGTGTGTAGTATCATGTTTGAGTGTAGTATCATGCATGTGTGTAGTATCATATTTGTGTGTAGTATCATGTTTGAGTGTAGTATCATGTTTGTGTGTAGTATAATGTTTGTGTGTAGTATCATGTTTGTGTGTAGTATCATGTTTGAGTGTAGTATCATGCATGTGTGTAGTATCATGTTTGTGTGTAGTATCATGTTTGAGTGTAGTATCATGTTTGTGTGTAGTATCATGTTTGTGTGTAGTATCATGTTTGTGTTTAGTATCATGTTTGTGTGTAGTATCATGCTTGTATGTAGTATCATGTTGGTGTGTAGTATCATGTTTGTGTGAAGTATAATGTTTGTGTGTAGTATCATGTTTTTGTGTCGTATCAAGCCATTGAGAGCAGTCATCAACTAGGTAGATCTTCTATCTCTTCCAGTGATTTCTTGCACATTCCGGCGAGTCAGTTCTATCTCTACCAGTTCTTGCAAACCCCAGCCAGTCAGTTCTATCTCTTCCAGTGATTTCTTGCACACCCCAGCCAGTCAGTTCTATCTCTACCAGTGATTTCTTGCACACCCCAGCCAGTCAGTTCTATCCCTTCCAGTGATTTCTTGCACACCCCAGCCAGTCAGTTCTATCTCTACCAGTGATTTCTTGCACACCCCAGCCAGTCAGTTCTATCTCTACCAGTGATTTCTTGCACATCCCACCAGTCAGTTCTATCTCTACCAGTGATTTCTTGCACATCCCACCAGTCGGATGGTATTTATTCACGTGTCCATGTTTATGTGCAGCTGAATTATCGCGATGTAAATTACCTGTCCAATTACCTGCCGGCTGTTTCAATAAAGGAGGGATGCACACAGGTAGACCGATGACCTGTTTTAATTTAGGTGGGTTAATGTGTTCCTGGCCGGTGGGTTGGTATATGGGTGAGTTGATATATTGCTGCGTGGGTACATTGGTGGGTTGGTATATTAATGGGTGTGTACATCGGTGGGTGGGTAAATTGGTTCGGGGGTACATTGGTGGGTAGGTACATTGATACTTTTTGCCACCCCCATTCCACGAAAAAAAGTTTGCCGTTGGCTGAAAATGTCGCCCCTCCATAGAAAGAAAGAAGTGCGCCCCGGGCTAGACTGCCCCCATCTCCACCTCCATTGAGTGGGGAAATGTTCAGATGTGTGATGAGTGAGGAAATGTTCAGATGTGTGATGAGTGAGGAAATGTTCAGATTGTGTGATGAGTGAGGCAAGGTTCAGATTGTGTGATGTGTGGGGCAAGGTTCAGATTGTGTGATGTGTGGGCCAAGGTTCAGATTGTGTGATGAGTGGGGCAAGGTTCAGATTGTGTGATGAGTGAGGCAAGGTTCAGATTGTGTGATGTGTGGGGCAAGGTTCAGATTGTGTGATGAGTGGTGCAAGGTTCAGATTGTGTGATGTGTGTGGCAAGGTTCAGATTGTGTGATGAGTGGGGCAAGGTTCAGATTGTGTGATGTGTGTGGCAAGGTTCAGATTGTGTGATGTGTGGGGCAAGGTTCAGATTGTGTGATGTGTGTGGCAATGTTCAGATTGTGTGATGAGTGAGGCAATGTTCATATTGTGAGATGGGTAAGGCAAGGTCTATGCCAGGTCAGTTGGAAACGAATGTGTCCCCTGATATTGAAAAGCCCTGGCACATGGTTGACGTGAGATTTGATTAGCATATTTTATATTACACATGCTGCGTTACTGATCCTTGCGCTGAGCGTCTCTTCAAACCCACTCTTTGATCTCCCCACAATAACCTTCCTAATCTCCAGATCCTCCTTTTCTATAATTCTCTCTCACTACTTTCTTCTCTACACACTCTCCTCTCTCCATACTCTCCTTCTCTCTATACTCTTATTCGTTCTGTGTTTACCATGTCTCCCTACTCCTATTCTTTCTGTACTCTCTTTCCCTCTCTACTCTCCGCACTGTCCTTCTCTCCCTACTCTCCTTCATTCCATGTTCTCCTACCCTACACATCCTCCTTCCCTCCGCGTTCTCCATCTCCCCATACTATCCGCTTTGATCTCCCTGCCAGTGATGATATTCTTTTCTTTACACCCCCTCCCCATCACCAGAGGTTCTAATCACGTCTTACCCCACCCCCACACACCCCAAATCCATTAATGCAGTGCTTTATCCTAACCGACAAAGGGGACTCTCCATTGCCATTATCTGTTGGACAAGGGAGTAGTTCCTTCTAATAGTATGCCCTCCGCTCTATACTTGACTTCAGCCAACTATTCTCTGTCTCAAATGTCCAAGGTTGGATAGATGGGGGAACGGTAAGGGGGATTAGGAAGACGTTGCTCTAATGAAGCCAAAGTAGCTAGGTGATGGGATGAATGAGACGCACAGCTTCAATCGCTTACCCCCCCCCCCCCCCCCCGTCTCTCTAAAACTCGGGTCTGTCGTCTCTGTTGGAAATGTGATCATGTTTCTAATATTTACTTCACAACTTAAATTCTCCGAACTGATTGAATTTTACAGCTGTATGTCAGCCCCATCGAAACGTGATGTGTTTGTAGGACCAGGATTAGAGGCCTCGTCGGATTGAGGCAGATAGAAGCCAGATTTGATCAAGATTTGCAGATTATTCATATCAGGCTCATCAAGATCTTCTCCCCCCCCTCCCCCAAACGCGCATCCTTATCTTAAATATTCCTTGTACCCTTTGAGATGAAAGCATATGGATATCAAACAATTAATTGATATCCGAATGGCATTTTTTCATATTAGTGATCAGCCTATCAACAAATGGAGCGTCTCTTAGGTTGGACAGGAATTCAGATATGCATAGATCAATAGACTGACGCTGATCTAAACTCTAGTAAATGATCACATGATCATACGATATAAGCCTGGTTCTCAAACATCAATTGCTTTTACATGAACTTTAATCATTAGAATGACAGTCTTCGGACTTGGTCTTAATCATTACAATGAAAATCTTGGGATGGACTTAATCATTAGAATGGCATTCTTGGGATTTGAAGTTAATCATTAGAATGACAATCTTGGGACTAGGACTTAATCATTAGAATAGCAATCTTGGGATGTGGACTTAATCATTAGAATAACATTCTTGGGTCTGGACTTAATCATTAAAATAACAATCTTGGGACTTGGACTTAATCATTAGAATGACATTCTTGGGGCTGGACTTAATCATTAAAATAACAATCTGGGGACTTGGACTTAATCATTAGAATGACATTCTTGGGGCTGGACTTAATCATTAGAATTACAATCTTGGGGCTGGACTTAATCATTAGAATAACAATCTTGGGATTTGAAGTTAATCATTAGAATGACAATCTTGGGATTTGAAGTTAATCATTAGAATGACAATCTTGGGATTTGAAGTTAATCATTAGAATGACAATCTTGGGATTTGAAGTTAATCATTAGAATGACATTCTTGGGGCTGGACTTAATCATTAAAATAACAATCTGGGGACTTGGACTTAATCATTAGAATGACATTCTTGGGGCTGGACTTAATCATTAGAATAACAATCTTGGGATTTGAAGTTAATCATTAGAATGACAATCTTGGGATTTGAAGTTAATCATTAGAATGACAATCTTGGGATTTGAAGTTAATCATTAGAATGACAATCTTGGGATTTGAAGTTAATCATTAGAATGACAATCTTGGGATTTGAAGTTAATCATTAGAATGACAATCTTGGGATTTGAAGTTAATCATTAGAATGACAATCTTGGGATTTGAAGTTAATCATTAGAATGACAATCTTGGTGTCACTAGAATAAAATACCACCAAAAACAGTGTGTCGCTAGAACAGAATACCACCAAAACAGATTACCACCAGACAGCAGGGTGCCAAAAGAAGAGGGTGCCACCATACAGCTGGTTGCCACCATAAACGGAGTATCACAAGAGCCCCCAGACTATGACGTGGTCTATGTGGGAAGTCTGTAGGGGGGGGGGTGAACACGAGTTTACCTCATTGTGTGAGGCCACTGCTTTTGACTCAATCTTTAAGGGAAATTGACAATGATAAGAAGTCATCAAAGAACCAGTTAAAGACGTTTTTTTTTCTTTGAATAGATTTTAGGACATTAGAGCGTTGTGCGCATGCACGGACACATGCGCTATAAAAATATTCAATCATCATCATCATCATCATCACCTGCGAAAACATATGTCTTTAAAATAATACGCCATTGTTTAGGTGCTGGCTCCCCCTGGTGTAAACAGTTTCTCATTTTTTAATATCGTGCTTGCATTTATTATCAGTAATATCAGCAAGATATATTATTATTATTATTTATTTTTTTTTTTTTTTGAATCTCTCAACAGTTTGCGGAGAGAGAAACTGAGACCGAAGACTGAAGGATAAACTCGTTCTCCCGTCCCAGCAGTAAGACTTCCGTCTAAGGATGATAACACCTCATTGTTGACCGCACCGCGTTCAAAGCGCGAGCTGCGTATCGTGCGCACCGCATCCATGTGCGTAACGGTGCGGGTACGGACTATGGGATGCGGGAAAAGCAGACACCGCTCACCCGAGGACTCGGAAGTTGATTTGAAGAACAGCAGCAAGAACAGCTCTGCCCACAATGCCAAGAAGAGGAAGCTGGGGTCAGAGGAGAAGAAAACAGTGGAAGGAGAGAAGGAAGTGTCAGGTATGTGGTGCATGTATGTCTGGAGGTGATAGGTGTATGCCTGGAAGTGATATGTGTATGCCTGGAGGTGATTTGTGTATGCCTGGAGGGGATACGTGTATGCCTGGAGGTGATACGTGTATGTCTGGAGGTGATACGTGTATGCCTGGAGGTGATACGTGTATGCCTGGAGGTGGTAAGTGTATGTCTGGAGGTGATACGTGTATGTCTGGAGGTGATACGTGAATGTCTGGAGGTGATACGTGTATGTCTGGAGGTGATACGTGTATGCCTGGAGGTGATACGTGTATGCCTTAAGGTGATACGTGTATGTCTGGAGTGATCCGTGTATGTCTGGAGGTGATAGGTGTATGTCTGGAGGTGATACGTGTATGGCTGGAGGTGATACGTGTATGTCTGGAGGTGATAAGTGTATGCCTGGCGGTGATACGTGTATAGATGTGTATGGCTGGAGGGGATAGGTGTATGTCTGGAGGTGATAGGTGTATGTCTGGAGGTGATACGTGTATGCCTGGAGGTGATACGTGTATGCCTTAAGGTGATACGTGTATGTCTGGAGTGATACGTGTATGTCTGGAGTTGATAGGTGTATGTCTGGAGGTGATACGTGTATGTCTGGAGGTGATACGTGTATGTCTGGAGGTGATAAGTGTATGCCTGGAGGTGATACGTGTATGTCTGGAGGTGATATGTGTATGTCTGGAGGTGATACATGTATGTCTGGAGTTGATACATGTATGTCTGGAGGTGATACGTGTATGTCTGGAGGTGATACGTGTATGCCTGGAGGTGATATGTGTGTGATATGTGGTTATATTAGGAGGTGATATGTGTATATCTAGAGGTGATATGTGTACGTCTGGAGGTGATATGTGTGTGTCTGGAGGTGATACGTGTATTATGTCTTGAGGTGATAGGTGTATGTCTAGAGGTATGTGATATATGCATGTTAGGAAATATGTGATTTTTCTGTGTCTCCAGTGATGTAATATTTGAATGTCTGGAAAATGTATCTTAGAGCAATGACGTCTGGTATGCAATTAAAACAGGTGGCTCTTGAGCACTGTTTAAACTTTGGCTCATCTTGGATTGACTTATCCCCCCCCCCAAATCCCCCCACCAAAAAAAAACAAAAAACAAACAAACTAACAAAAATACAAAACATTTGATTAGAATATCAATTCGAGGTATAGATAAAAGTGGTTGTTGGGTGGTGCCCATCCCTAGTTACGGGCAATACATTGAAATGACTTTAAACACAGTGGCTATGAATCTTCTCCTAGGTGATGATGGCCCAGGCGGTGGCCATGATCTGGCAATTTGCCGTCATCGGTTGTCCTCCCAGAAGGAATCAAGCAAAACTTTTTTTTTTCTTAAGACGTAAGAACAAGAAATAATAAAAGACTAGAGATTTCCTCCAACAAGACTCAATGGGAAGACCAAAGTATAGACGCAAACCTTCTTCAATAGACTCATCAATCTGACTCTGTGTTTCTTGACTTCATATTGAAATGTGTTCCGACGACCTCACAAACACACACAAATTCCTTGGAAGGGTGCATGGTTTCAGGAGGTAGGCGCCATTGTTTGGTCAAACCTGCACTTGGATGGCATGTCAAACTGCTTGATAAGACACGATGCAAAATGGGTGTCGGTGTTTGTTGCGCTTGGCCTGTTTGTACGGCTGAACAGGTTTGCACGTCTCCACGTACACGGCGTCCATGTGCAGGTCGGGTGCTAACCAAACGTTTCAAGTGGATTTGATGGGAAATTATGGTAAAAATAGAATAGGGCAACGAAGCGTCCAATGGAACATCCAACAGAACGTGCAAGAGAGCATCCAATATAGCATCCAATAGAACATCCATTAGAACATCCAATGAAATATCCAATAGAGCATCCAATGAAACATCCGATAGAACATCCAATAAAACATCCAATAGAACATCAAATTGAACATCCAATGAGCATCCAATAGAACATCCGATGAAACATCCAATTAAACATCAAATAGAACATCCAATGAGCATCCAATAGAACATCCAATATAGCATGAAATAGAACATCCAATAGAAAATCCAATATAACATCCAATAGAGCAACCAACAGAGCATTTAATAGAACATCTAATAGAACATTCAATAGAACATCCAATTGAACATTCAATAGATCATCCAATAGAACATCCAATGGAGCATCAAATAGAACATCCAATGAGCATCCAATAAAGCACTTCCCATCACGTTCCAGTAGAGTACAAAGTTGTTTTCTAAGTCAAGACGAATTGATCTAAAAGCAGTGAAGACACAGTGGCACGGTATCTAATGAGTGAAGGGTCATAACGATTTATGTTAACCTGCCTTTATGTGGGGATGGTCGGACACTTTATGAGAACAAAACATGATGTGTGGATGGTCGGACACTTTATGAGAACAAAACATGATGTGTGGATGGTCGGACACTTTATGAGAACAAAACATGATGTGTGAATGGTCGAACAGTATATGAGAACATAACATAATCTGTGGATGGTCGAAGAATTTGTAGGAACATAGCATAATGAATGAATGGTGGCATAGATATTAAGAGGACCTAATGTATAAAAGGCAGTACATTTGACGATGTCAGATGATATAACATTAATACAGCTTGGGATAAAAAATATGATACAGTTTGTGAGATAAAAGATGACACAGTTTGTAATATAAAAGATGATACAGCTTGTGATATAAAAGATGATAAAGCTTGTGATATAAAAGTTGATACAGTTTGTGATATAAAAGTTGATACAGCTTGTGGTATAAAAGATGATAAAGCGTGTGATATAAAAGTTGATACAGCTTGTGATATAAAAGATGATACAGCTTGTGATATAAAAGATGATACAGCTTGTGGTATAAAAGTTGATACAGCTTGTGATATAAAAGATGATACAGCTTGTGATATAAAAGATGATAAAGCTTGTGATATAAAAGTTGATACAGCTTGTGATATAAAAGATGATACAGCTTGTGATATAAAAGTTGATACAGCTTGTGATATAAAAGATGATAAAGCTTGTGGTATAAAAGTTGATACAGCTTGTGATATAAAAGATGATACAGCTTGTGGTATAAAAGACGATACAGTTTGTGATGTAAAAGATGATAAAGCTTGTGATATAAAAGATGATACAGCTTGTGATATAAAAGATGATACAGTTTGTGATATAAAAGATGATAAAGCGTGTGATATAAAAGATGATACAGCTTGTTATATAAAAGATGATACAGTTTGTGATATAAAAGATGATACAGCTTGTGATATAAAAGTTGATACAGCTTGTGATATAAAAGATGATACAGCTTGTGGTATAAAAGTTGATACAGCTTGTGATATAAAAGATGATAAAGCGTGTGATATAAAAGATGATACAGCTTGTGGTATAAAAGTTGATACAGCTTGTGATATAAAAGTTGATACAGCTTGTGATATAAAAGATGATAAAGCGTGTGGTATAAAAGTTGATACAGCTTGTGGTATAAAAGTTGATACAGCTTGTGGTATAAAAGATGATACAGTTTGTGATATAAAAGATGATAAAGCGTGTGATATAAAAGATGATACAGCTTGTGATATAAAAGATGATACAGCTTGTGATATAAAAGATGATACAGCTTGTGATATAAAAGATGATACAGCTTGTGATATAAAAGATGATACAGCTTGTGATATAAAAGATGATAAAGCGTGTGATATAAAAGATGATACAGCTTGTGATATAAAAGATGATACAGCTTGTGATATAAAAGATGATACAGCTTGTGATATAAAAGATGATACAGCTTGTGATATAAAAGATGATACAGCTTGTAATGACGTAATAACGTGATAAATCACTATTAGTCACAGTTTTTTTATCTCCTAAAGGCACATCGTTAGATTAGGTGTTTGTGAGGAAGGATGATAGTCATTGGATGAGATGTTCGTGAGGAAGGATGATAGTCATTGGATGAGATGTTCGTGAGGAAGGATGATAGTCATTGGATGAGATGTTCGTGAGGAAGGATGATAGTCATTGGATGAGATGTTCGTGAGGAAGGATGATAGTCATCGGATTAGATGTTCGTGAGGAAGGATGATAGTCATTGGATTAGATGTTTGTGAGGAACGATGATAGTCATTGGATTAGGTGTTTTTGAGAACTATGATAGTCATTGGATTAGGTGTTTTTGAGAACGATGATAGTCATTGGATTAGGTGTTTTTGAGAACGATGATAGTCATTGGATTAGGTGTTTTTGAGAACGATGATAGTCATTGGATTATGTGTTTGTGAGGATGATTGATAGTCATTGGATTAGATATTTGTGAGGAAGGATGAAAGTCATTGGATTAGATGTTAGAAAAAAACAGATTATAATATTTTAAATTGATGTTGGACGATACAGACTATCACCATTGGATTTAACTGATTAGTTGGGGAAAACAGCTAACGTTTAACAAAATGTTTTATCATTGTGTGCCAGTGGTTGTATGAATGTGAGCCAGTGGTTGTATGAATGTGTGCCAGTGGTTGTATGAATGTGTGCCAGTGGTTGTATGAATGTGAGCCAGTGGTTGTATGAATGTGTGCCAGTGGTTGTATGAATGTGAGCCAGTGGTTGTATGAATGTGTGCCAGTGGTTGTATGAATGTGAGCCAGTGGTTGTATGAATGTGAGCCAGTGGTTGTATGAATGTGTGCCAGTGGTTGTATGAATGTGTGCCAGTGGTTGTATGAATGTGAGCCAGTGGTTGTATGAATGTGAGCCAGTGGTTGTATGAATGTGTGCCAGTGGTTGTATGAATGTGAGCCAGTGGTTGTATGAATGTGAGCCAGTGGTTGTATGAATGTGTGCCAGTGGTTGTATGTGTGTGTGCCAGTGGTTGTATGTGTGTGTGCCAGTGGTTGTATGTGTGTGTGCCAGTGGTAGTATGTGTGTGTGCCAGTGGTGGTATGTTTGTGTGCCAGTGGTTGTATGTGTGTGTGCCAGTGGTGGTATGTTTGTGTGCCAGTGGTGGTATGTTTGTGTGCCTGTGGTTGTATGTGTGTGTGCCAGTGGTGGTATGTTTGTGTGCCAGTGGTGGTATGAATGTGTGCCAGTGGTTGTATGAATGTGTGCCAGTGGTTGTATGATTGTGTGCCAGTGGTTGTATGTGTGTGTGCCAGTGGTGGTATGTGTGTACAGGGTGGTCCCATGTGTGTGTGGAAAGGCTAATGTCATGTGTATGTGTGAAAAGGATGGTGTCATGTGTATGTATGAAAGGGTTGGTGCAATGTGTGTGTGTGTGTGAAATGGGTGATGTCGTGTGTATGTGTGAAAAGGATGGTGCAATGTGTGTGTGTGTGAAAAGGGTGATGTCATGTGTATGTGTGAATAAGGTGGTGCTATAATTGATCAGTACACAAAAAAAGTTCGCCTGGAGATGTCTCGTCATTTAGAGCAGCACGGAGGGGAGATAACATAGAGAGGGGAGATAAGATAGAGAGGAGGGGATCACTGATTGAGTGGAATGGCAAGAATCGTGTTTGGAATAAGAGAATTGATTCTCTGCTTAAGACTCAAGGGTGCGTGTGGATGTGTCCGTGTGTCGGCTTGTTTGTCCCAAGGCGGGGAGGGAATGTGTGGGGTGGGTAGGCTAAGGTCGTGAAGGATCAAGGTCTCGACAACGAATCTGACAGAAGCTTCCAGAGGGCAATAGATCTTGGTTTCCAGTGGTTTAAAAATGTGTTGTTGTTGTTTTTTTTTACTTATGGTCGGCACATACCAACATGTTTTTACGCCAAGACGTCTCTTCTGCAGTTTTCCCTTAAATTCTTACACATGTCCCGTACATCATTACCCATGTCCCGTACATCATTACACACGTCCCGTACATCATTACACATGTCCCGTACATCATTACACATGTCCCGTACATCATTAAACACGCACCATAAATTAAAACACAACACACATCCCATACATTATAAAACACGTCCCATACATTGTAACACACGTCCCGTATATTATACCCCACGTCCCTTACATTATAACCCACGTCCCATACATTATAACCCACGTCCCTTACATTATAAGACACGTCCCATACATTATAACCCACGTCCCTTACATTATAACCCACGTCCCATACATTATAACCCACGTCCCTTACATTATAAGACACGTCCCATACATTATAAAACACGTCCCGTACATTATAACACACGTCCCGTACATTATAACACACGTCATGTACATCATAACACACGTCCCGTACATCATAACACACGCCCCGTACATTACAACACACGTCCCATGCATTATATTATTACACATGTCCCGTACAACACGGCGCTTGAAGTGAAGAAAGATCGACTAATTTAATTAACGATCCAGATCATTTTCTGTCCCCATCTCTAATCGCCCACATCTATCCCTAATGTCACTGGACGGTACCCGCTCCAAGTATCGACTAATTTAATTAACGATCCAGATCATTTTCTGTCCCCATCTCTAATCGCCCACATCTATCCCTAATGTCACTGGACGGTACCCGCTCCAAGTATGTTTATCGATTAAAATCACAGCACATCACCCGCTCTCCTCTAGATTACTGCTTCCCCAACTGTTCAGTAGGTGGTACCACCAGGTATTAATCCATGCGGCAGAAACAAATTGATTTTTTGGTACTTTTTCGATCTTATTAAACGCCCCCCTTTGCCCATACCGGCGAGTTAATGTGTGTGGACCATGACTGGACCACAGAGCACCGCTTAACTCTTTCGGGGGCGGAGCCTTCTCGGGGTGTCTGCGCCAAAAAAGATGGAGCACTTTTTACGAGCATGGCACTAGCATTGCAAGACACAAAAAATGTATTTAAAAAATGAACTATTTCCATTACATGTATGAAAATTATAATATTTTTGTAGGAAATTGAATGATCTAATACAGGGGTCTCAAACTCATGGCCCGCGGGCCCTTTGCCGCCCACAAGACGATTTTTTGCGGCCCGATACCTGACAGTAAAGTTCAGTGTTAATGCGGCCCGTGCATTTCCCCATTCTCATATCTGTGACGGCTACAATCGCATCTAACCGACTAGTCTACTTGGGATTTTTATTTTGCTGTATAGGTTTGTTCGTTTGTTAAAATGGTCAAGAGACTTTTTTTTTAAAATCGGACAAAAAGTTTTTATTTTATAGCATTTTATGAGTTAAACATGGCGGCCAAAGTTCGAATTTGAACACAGGTTTGCAGACTTTATAACACACAGAGGCACTTTTCACATTTTCGCTGTCCCTTTATCCCTCATTGTGGAAGATTCCCCCCATCCCCAAACACCTTTTTTCTCTTCCCCCCCCCCCCGCTTCAAATGGAGCTAATTGATCTTCAATGCAATTCTGAACTCAAGGCTAAGTTCAGGGAGGTGAATGGAAAAAACAGACAAGCTTGGACAATTTATGAGAGAATCGTCCTGCAACTGCCCCGAGATTTCCAGGTTGTTCAAGCGGATCAAGTCAAAGTTCGTGCCCAAACGTAGTGATGGGCATCTTTGAGCTCTACTGAGCGTCTCAGTTGCTTCCTCACTCAAGCAAAATGTTGCTCAGCTGAATAAGAAAAAACGCTTCCAGGTCTCTGGGAACAAGGAGTATGAAACCAGTTCTCAAGAACCCTTCATGTTTTTATTATTTTTTTTTTTTATTAATAAAGGTTGAGCACATTGTAACAGTTGCTCTTTATTAGATTTGTCATCGCTTTTTTTTGTGTGAAAAAATTTCAAGCGACTCGGTCTCACTCAGACTTAATTTCCTTTGGCCCCCTGGATCATTTGAGTTTGAGACCCCCTGATCTAATATAATCTTCATTTATCAAACTGAAATCTCAACATTTATGCAAATGTGCTATCCCGATTTGCATAATTTATGGGTGTCATTTTTTGGTTAAACTTAGATTAAACATGACTTACTTGTATCAATTGTGTGAATTTTTTTATGGAAGAGGCCTGAGAGAGTCCTAGCACTTGTGTTTTGGCAAACGTGGCCCATGGAGGTCCTTCTGGTACATGGTTCTACTCTAAGCCAAAAAGTTCACATCTTATTGCCCTGTCTAATGATTCAAGCTTCCACATACCTTGTTCTACTGTTCACAAAGCTTGAACGCGGTCCTTCATTTATTATCTTTTATTCTACTCCTTTTCCTGCGACCCCCCCCCCCCCCCGGGCTAATTTTCAGTTGCTACAGACACTCACTGTAACACCATTTATGACCTAGAGACCTTCTCTTAAGCTGGCTGAGAAAGTTGCCTGCACACCTCTGGGCCGAGAAAGTTGCCTGCACACCTCTGGGCCGAGAAAGTTGCCTGCACACCTCTGGGCCGAGAAAGTTGCATGCACACCTCTGGGCCGAGAAAGTTGACTGCACACCCCTGGGCCGAGAAAGTTGACTGCACACCTCTGGGCCGAGAAAGTTGGCTGCACACCTCTGGGCCGAGAAAGTTGACTGCACACCTCTGGGCTGAGAAAGTTGCCTGCACACCTCTGGGCTGAGAAATTTGCCTGCACACCTCTGGGCTGAGAAAGTTGCCTGCACACCTCTGGGCTGAGAAAGTTGCCTGCCCACCTATTGGCCTCTCTCAGAAACATTTGAGGTGTACTTCGTTTTTTTTTAAAAATAGCATCTAAAGTACTAAGATGGCGTATTTATAGGACCTGTCTGTCTATATTGTCTAAAAGTGAGAGGGTTAACAGCATTATCGTGAAAATCATCATTCTGATCGTCTTCATGACTTTCCTGGTTGTTTTCATCAATGCCGGATTCACTGCTAGAATATCAAAAGCATTAAGGAAAATTTGTTCAGTGTCACTGTCAGACATTTTGGAATTTTACGCTTTTACTTGTAACACACAAAATTACCGAACACAACGAAAACTGGTAAATAAAAGGAGGCCACCATTAAAATGCCAGGAATTTGTAAAAAGCAATCTGATTATCTGGTACGAAGATCAACCAGCCAATATCGAGCCGTTAGATCGGCCATCCGTTTATATCGCTACTCCACCACTGGAGATGTCTCGTCATTTATGGACACTCTGGTTGTATGATGATTAGGCACGAGGGTTGTAAGATAACTGCACACATCGGTTGTCGGTAAAATAACTGGAAAACCTAGTACAGCACATAAAATTGGATGAATAAAGGGGAGGTTGTTGTTTTGTTTTTTGTTTGTTTTTTTTTGGGGGGGGGCTTTTTACATAAACAAAAAAATAATAATGTTTCATGCAAGGAGAAACTAGAGATTGTAATATTATTGGTATTGCATTTCTTAGTATCAAGTTAACAACATGGTAGTCGTAATCAATTGATTCCTGCTGAATAACAAAATAATGAACCCTCCCTTCAACTTCAAGTGTATTGACAAGGAACGTTCGGAACAAGTTTTAGAACAAAGAAGAGCAACTTTATTCAACTTTCGTACATCATCAAGGGGGCATATTTATATTTAGGCATTGCAAGACGGTTTGTGTATTTTATATCCTTCACACCATCCAGAAAACCGAGGTCATATTGTGGGAATCCTCGAGGACGAGGTCACGTTGTAGTAATCAGCAACGCTTAGCAGAAGCCGAGAGTCTGGTGGTTACCATTCTTAGTTCTAACAAGTCCAAAGAATGTTAACAACTAGTACTAGTGTTATTCTCAAATTAGTGTAGTGTTGGCCTGTTACTGTTAGTAGAAATGTAATGCTTTTCATTTGAATTTGTCCATTTTCATATGAAGAATGATTTATTATCATAGCATCTTTGATTAAAAGGATTGCATTTAATCAGTATATCAGGCAACTTTCTCCATTTTGACAAATATAATATGGGCAAATGATTTCTTATTTTATTCAAATTTTATTTATGCTTGAGGCCCCCCAGTTATTGATTGGTTTGGTCTCATTTGAACTTGATACATTGCATATTCTGTAACTTGAACATCTACAATTAAAGAAGTATATATCTTAAATTTTATTAGCTTTCCCCATTTAGTTGTAATGAGCTATCTCCCCTAGTGTTATGAGTTATCTCTCCTAGTAAACATTACTTGCCCTTCCTGACTAGCTCCATTTGACTGCCAGTTTTTTTTTTAACTCTTTAGCAGTGTTTTCATTGGGCCAAATCAAAGAGCAAATGCTTGAATGACTGAAGTCACTTGGGATTTGCTCTAATGAAAATATTATGGTTGTGTTTGGGAATCAATAGAAACATTGTCAATGGTTTGTAAAGGTCAAGGTCCCTTTACAAATGAGAATGATTAATTTAGACTTTAGAGATGGGCTGAGAGAAGAATAGATGTGCTGAAAGAATTAGAGATGGGCTGACAGAAGCAGAAATGGACTGACAGAAGTAGAGATTGGCTGAGAGAAGTAGTGGTGGGCTGAGAGAAGCAGAGATAAGCTGAAAGAAGTAGAGATGGTTTGACAGAAGTAGAGATGGGCTGAGAGAAGCATAGTTGGGCTGACAGAAGTTGGGGTGGGCTGAGAGAAGTAGGGGTGGGCTGAGAGAAGCAGTGATGGGCTGACAGAAGTAGAGTTGGGCTGAAAGAAGTAGAGATAGGCTGACAGAACCAAGGGTTGGCCGAGAAAATCACAGATTAAAAAGAGAGCAGTTGATACATCTTTTCTTCCATTGATAAACTCCCTTGCTTGAAATATACTGAATTTTTATGTTTAACCTATTTCATAATCTCTGCTCCTTTAAACATAGTTATCCAACTTATTTGATTACAAAGGCATTTACAGATACTTATTGCTCTCACTTCTTTCATCCAGAGAGATCCAACTCCTTCAAGAAAATATCCAATGGGAAATCCTCCAAGGTGAAGGAGAGGAATGAAGAAATCGGGGTGCCTCTGAGTGACTCCCAAAAAACTGCAAGTGGTGCTGCTGCCACGGGGTCCAGTGATAAATCCAATGGTGCTACAAAAACCCAAAACAAGACGTACTTACTGGAGGTCCCAAATGAAATATCTAAACCAGTGAGTGAGATGTTTAGCCCTGCTGAACTACACTTAGCATTAAGACATACACACCGAGCCATAGCACATGCACACTTAGTTGGTCTGCATCATGATTGAGATTTTAACAACTGTCTGATGCCATGTTAGACTGTGTCAGCCTCATGAAATAAAAATAAATTATAGAAAACTTTAATATATAAACAAAACCCAATTCACTATTTAAAAATATTTGGTTATTAAAAGTTTGTTTTTCTTTTGTTTGTTTTTTCAAATCTGATTAATTGACTTCAAATTTTCACCATGTAAATATTTATTGTTACTGCCTTTATTAAGATATTTATAAAGACTTGACTGTGATTTGTTTCTCTCTCTCTCTCTCTCTCTCTTAAGGAATCTCAAACCAAAAGTTCAATGAGAGATTTCAAGTCTATGACCGCCTCTAAAATCATTCAGTGAGTGCCTCATGTGATGTGGGGAGTAGCTGTTATAAAGAAACCGCATAAAATAATAACAGATCCATTCATGTTCAAGAAGAATTTTTAAACATTTGAAGTTGAATGCTTTTTTATAACTGCAATCTTTTAAATGTACTCATTTCTTTATTTCAGCGTGACAAGTAGTCAAATAGAATTCTTCAAGATGTTGGATGAAAAAATTGAAAAGGTAGCAAATTATGTACCCGGTAGATAATAATTTTGAAATAAATTTCCTTCTAATCAGTGTAATTTATTACATACCGGTAGCTCAAGGCCTTAAAGAAGTCTTAATCTGTCTCTCTTGACAGATGGGTTTTTCCTAGCCAGATTTTGTAAGGACTAGGTAAGGATGGAGCTAAAAGAATAGACTCCTTTCCCCTAGAAATATTTTTTTAAGCTATTCCTCCACAGTTTATTCTTTTAGCATCAATAGGTTCAATTTTCTGAGGGGGTATGAGGTGCAAGGTGATTAAAATTTATTATAAGAAAAAGGAAACATGGGAATAAAGTTATGACGTTAGTGTTTTTATACTTTTAAATTTATTCATTAAACTTTTACCTAGTGTTAGAAGTCAAAGGTTTATTTTCTGAGTTCTACACTTCTCTTTGTAATTCAATAACAACATTAGAAGATAATATTTTTTCAAATGCTAAGTGCAACAATTTGTTTCGGGACTGCAGAATCTAGAAAAGGTTTGGAAACCCTATATTTCATTTTAAAAATATGGACTTTAAATTTCTGTGGTTGTTATCCAACAGGGAGCTGAGGCTGAGTTCCTTCCATCTGGCGAGGGATCTGAAGTATCATCTGTAGATGATGTGTACAGGTATTGATGAAACCTACACACCCTGTACACACCCTGACAGGGTGTGACCTCATTGACTGATGGATCAACATTGATGAGGTGCGCAAGCGATGATGAGCATCATCTGTCTACATTTATCGAATAAATTGACTCGAGCTGTACCATTTGTACATGAAACATTGGTACCGGTACATTACATGTTGGAATATTATTTCTTGGTTACAGCTTTTATGCACAGAGCAACCAGTGATGGTATCGTTAAAAATAAAGAGGACACTGACTTTATGCACAGAGCAACCAGTGATGGTATCGTTAAAAATAAAGAGGACACTGACTTTATGCACAGAGCAACCAGTGATGGTATCGTTAAGAATAAAGAGGACACTGATGTGTAGCTTAAAATCTATATGAAAAGACTCAAGCTAAACAAAGCTTAACTGTTAAAGATGTTGACTACAGGAACTGCAAAAGATGTTAACAATAAGTGTACTTCCATCTCAATGCTCTAAATCTGCTCTCTGATTTCTCTAAGGAATGAGATCAGCTCTTGCAAAGTCTTTTTAAGAATTGCTGCATCCAGCATAAAAATTACTCATGAAACTGCTCTTTTCAGTATTGCTATATTTTCTGTGTGAAATGGATTAATGCTTCAAAAACTAACTACCAATATTATGTTCATGGTACCAATAATAAAACTTGTGCGGAACAAGATACAACTTGCGTGATGCCAAGTCTTCATATCAACACAATGATGATGACTAAAAGACCAGTGCATTTACTGACTCGAGTGCTACTTTCAAGACTTGGACACACACTTCTCGCATAAAATCATGATAATTGTATCCTGCACATCAACTGCGTCATGCGTATGTGCGAGACCAGCTGTTTAAAGTTTGCAGTGGGCAGATGAACATGACTGCAAAATGCTGGTAACAAGTTCAAAATTCTTCCTGTGTTTGAAACTCTTCATGTGGTTCACAAATGGCAATGCTAAACTTGAATATCCAAGGATATAAATCTTTGAGGTGATAAGTTGAAGATATTCATAAATTCACATGGCGAGGTTTGGATAATTGAGAGAAAAATTGCACACGAAAATAGACATGTATTTTTCTTCTCCTGGTTTTGACTGAATGAAGTATACCCAAGAAGTATTCAAGTTTTGAATCAATGAAGTGAATACAAGAAGTAGAAAATTTATTATTCAAGTTAAATTTTTGATTCCTGGTGATATTGTTTTATTTACAAGTCTGGTAAACAAAATATGTAAGCAAACAGTGCCCAGTACTGTGCTGTTGTGTGTGATAAAATTTGTCAAGTATCCATTTCAAAGTGTGCATGTTATGAATTATTTTTTTGTAATGAAAGAATTGATTCTATTTTTAGATGTGGAGTTGTAAAGGCCAAACTTGGACATTTTTTTAAAAACCAAACTTAATGTGATATTTCTTTGGTTTTGGGTCGAGTTTTACTTTGAATATACTTAAATTGTAATGTTTTTCATTATTTTCATTGCATAATCTCTATTAATTTACAATTTTAAAAAAAAAATCACATATTTACTTTTTTAAAGTGAAGAACAATGACTGTTAAAGCCGGAGTACATTTAAAAGGTTCAAATATAATGATATACCTGTCCACTTATGTTATATAGCAATAATTTCTACTTTTAATTTTCATTTTCTTTTATTTATCCCCCCGGACGTATATTTTTAAATAGTCCAACAAAAGTAACGATTAAAAAAAGTTTTAAAAAAAAAAATTAATAATTATCATAAAAATTATTACAAGTGACGAAAAAAAAAGTAATTTCTGTTATATTCATGAAACATTTGACCATTAAGACCAATCAAGTATAATATTCTCCATAGAGTTGATCAGAAAGTAATTACTATGATCAAAATAAATTTATAAAAATAACAAATGAAATTGACTCAAGAGCAAAACAATGTTTATCCTTTAATATATTTAAGACATAAGTTAGTACCGGTACATACTTGTGTAGTTAGTACCAACACTTACTTGTGAACAAAATTATGAAGATTTTTACATGTGAACATCTCTTGCATTTGAGGTTTTATCTGAGAAGTTTGACAATAATGTAATAGTATACAAATTTTTTCTTACCATATTTTTTTCTGCGTATAAATTATAAAATGAGTAAAAAAAAATTATTGCTTTAATTTAGTTACATTCTCAGGCCAATGAGACAATAATAATAATAATAAGATTGTTATTATTAAGATATTTAAATTTTATTCTTCCCATTAAATTAACATGCAAAAGATATATCAGAGTCAAATTAAAGTTTTTAATGCACAATAACGTGACACCAGATAAGCAAGTCATGTGTCTTCTGATGTTCCCATGGAACATGGGCGCCCGCAGGTAGGGGCAAGGGGGGCAATTGCCGCCCCCCCCCCCCACCTGAATTGATTGGATAAAAAGAGTTTAGACAAAAATAGACAAAAAATGTATTAAAGTAAAGAGAAAATAAAGAGAAAGTAACTAAGCTGATGTCCTGTCCGTTCGTACACCATACAAATACGCTACAGTAAATTNTTTTTTTTTTTTTTTTTTTTTTTTTTTTTTTTTTTTTTTTTTTTTTTTTTTTTTTGTGGCAAACATCCAATGTTTTGTAACTCAAAGGCAATGTCTTACATGGTGATGAAAATTGCTCAAACAGATTTGATCACTCCAATGTCATGCTGCTTCTGCTTATCTCAAAATTGTCTATTTTTAGAATGATTGAAAAAATAATCTCACAATAAATTGTTGACCTTGGCACAAAAGTTAAAGTTTTATTTCCTTCCTTCAATAATTTTGTTGGGTGGCCAGCATTTGTATGCTTTCTTTTACTTAGTTATTTTTTTTTGTATACATAATTTTTTTTTTTTTTACAATTTAAAAGCCTTTTAAACCTTGAATTACTTGAATGGCTTGAATTTAATCTATGACCAAATGTTGTAAGTTTGTTTCTACAAATGTTTTTCTTTTTCATGACCTCAAAGGCACAGCTACCTTTAAACAAATTATTTTTGACAATTTCCTTTTTATAATTCTATTTTCTTTATAATGCAACATTTAACATATAAAGCTTTAACTGCTGTACCAGTACTTAATATAAGACATTTCAAATGTCTTTTTGGTTTCATCCATTTACTTTACAACTAAACAATTAAATTATACCTTTAAAAAAATGATTTAATTATTATTTCATCACAAAATCACTCTTTCATTTTGACACGTTTTATAATGTGTGTGTGCCAACTTCATTCATTACTCATTTTATGAAGCAGGTGGTTGTACTTGGTATTACCACTCACTGGACTACCTTAGAATGCATCTGTTCATTTGGGTGCACCAGTTATTCATTTGGTGCAGCACTCATTCATTTGGTGCAGCACTCATTCATTTGGTGCACCACTCAATGTATAACAATATTTTACAAGCTGTAAGTTTAGTTTGATTTTCAAAAATGTTCTTTAGAAGGTCAGGTAAGGAATTTACTCAGATTATAATTAAATGTAAATTATTGTGTGACAAGGTGCTGGTACTTTGTGTGACAAGGTGCTGGTACTTTGTGTGTTAAGGTACTGCATACTTTGTGTGTCAAGGTGCTGCATACATTATTTTGGAAAAACTCATTGCAACCAGAAGATCCTTATCCAACAAATGAGACTTTCATCAGATTATCTTAAGTTTTTCCTTACCAAACAACCTGAGTATAATATCAACAAGCTGGATCAACATCAAATTCCAATGAATTGGTATAAATCATAAGTCAATATTTAAAAGGCGTATTGTATTAATTAAATAAAAGTAAATGAAAATAAAACAATGTAAAAGCAATAATTTTATACCTTGGCATTTAGATTTTTAAACTCTTTTGTGTCCTTGAGATAAATGTAAGTACCAACATTTAATTTTTTTTTAAAACTTTATTTTACACCAAATGCATATCATTGTTTGTACATTAATTTTTGTCTTCAGTTTAGTTTTCAAGAAAATTTTAATTCTACCATCATATTAAATTATTTGGGCACCCTGTTTTCCTCAATACAGTTCAAACTGTTACACTGTGCTTATCTACTGTTACACTGTGCTTATCTTAAGATTAACAATTCATGATCATTTAAACCAGATGTGTTAAATGAATATTTTAATGTTTTCATCTGTTGACAAAATGGTACTATTGATCATGTCCTTTAACTGTGATGTACACAGGTGCACATGGAATTTCCAGAGCTTATTGTACACAAGATATTTTTACTAGTCAATACATATTAGAAGATGTTAATACATTGTAATGTGTATTCATAAATAATAATACATCTGAGCACTGCTGAGAGCTTGAACAAAAAAAATTGTTTTAAAAATATTGGTATCCAAGATTTTTTAAAGCTGTAATTTTTTTCTGCTTAGTAATTATTTTAAAAGCAAGTGGCTCTGGAAGTTTGATTTAATGTTTTTATATTTAGTCTTTGAAAATTTAAAACATTTATTTGTTACAGGTACCGGTACTTTAAACTGCTGTAGTAATTGACAATTTTCATTTCAAACTTGTTTTTAATAAATGCGATCTAAAGAAAATTAATGATTTACTCTGTTTGCTAAAAGGAAATTATATTATGTTTTTTTTCTTTAAAGAAACAAAATTTTTATGAAATTGCAAGAACTCAACAAATGATGTGTTCTTCAAATCAATACATCTTCATGTCAGCCTGTTTACTATTCTGTATTCTCCAATAACTGTTAGAGTCAAATGTGCAGCAACTTTCTTGTATTTTTAAGACTTGTGATATTGTATAGACTTGTCTTTTACTCTAGAAATGCCCATACCATGTGTCCACAAATTTTTTTAAAACATTTCATTGTTACATTGATATATCTTATGTTCTTGGCTTAAATGCACACACTACTTCCTGAAACACCTCCTAAAACTGGCTCTTTGGATCTATTTAATAGGTAGTACTTATTTCTTCTGCAGCATTTAAGATGGTGGGCAAAATGATGATGATTTTTAAATGGAAGCGGATTCTTTAAAAATTAATGACGTAACAAGGAGCTTTCAAATAATTGAAAATAATCAAATCAACCATAAATTAATAGCACATAAGAAATATACAAAGGATAGAGGAAAACCTGAAAGACAATACAAGAAAGTGAAAGTTTCAACGGTAAAAATAGTTGAAGACAGAGACAAACACTCTTAGCCTGTTGCATAGATTAGTTGAATTTAAATTGTAGACATATTCAACAAGCCACCCATGAAATCAAAGAATATTTAATTATTTTTTTCAACCTCAATGCAGTCCTCGTATTTCTCTTAAATGGCACACTGCATTACACTTCTTTTATATAGCGGCATAAAGAGATTTTAAGAAGAGGTTGAGAATTCAAGATTTTATTTTAAACATGCCTGCATGTGTATGCCCAGAACCAATAGTAAAATCCAAATAAAGGTGGAACAGGTTTAATAAATAGAGTGGAATATTGGTGTTCTTCAGCAATTTTTCCTTGGAAGCAGGCTAAAAATTAAATAAAACCATAGCACCAATTGTTAAAAAAAACGAACATCTTAGTCATGAAATATAACAATTAATTTTTGAAGAAGATTACCTGAAAACTTAATTTGAAAACCTCATTTTACATTGTGCATATGTATGAATGTGCTTGATTCTATAGTTGGCTTTTTGCAGCACACGTATAAAAACAAAATGTATGATAAACAAAATAATTAGAAACAAGGCTTTATTTATTTAATATTGTTGTATTTCTTTTATTTACATGGCGAAATGTTCATGAGTTTCAAGTAATAAAACAGTCCCAGGTAATAAAACAATTTCTCAATAAATGAATTGGCTTAAAGGTCTGTTTGAATTGAGCTACTTACTTAAGGCAAAATAACTGCTCCACTGTGCTATTCTTGACAATATTAAGATATTTCCACCACATTGCCCAAGTTGAATTTGAACCTTTTTTAACAAAAAGATCGTCAAAATAATGGGATTTTGTTTATAAGAGCTTTGGAATAATTGTTCAGCATATAATATAATACTAATGGAGATCATCATGCATATTCTTTGGTACAGGTATGTTGGGTGACTGGTGGGGTTAGGGTGGTGGTGTCCCAACAAATTCATACACATGCTAAAATCATGACAATGACAGTCACAAGCGCCTGCTTATGGAAAAACGAATCCAAAAATAATGTTTCCAATTTTTTATATTACTTAAACTTACATGCTTTTTTTTCTACAATTTATTTGACTACCTTATAGCATTTGGAGTCACAAAATCCGGTTGTTGTTTGTAACCCCCCCAAAACATGTAATAAATCTATACCAATCTAAGCAAGGTTGAAAGCAAAATTTAAGATGAGTTTATAAAATTAAATACCCGGTATTGATAATCCAAATTATATTACAATCATAATGTAGAAAAAGCCTTTTTTACCTTTGTGAGAGGGGGGATGTTATTAATTCACAATTGATCTATAGCTTTGTGGTGCTTGTCTGGTTAAATGTAATAATTTTTAAAATGCCCAGCAATCTACCATAATTTTAACAATAAATAGAAAAAGTACTTAATTTTACAGGGCTTCATTATTGTAAGTAGGGAGACAAAGGCAGCTCAGGGAGGCCACTCTCCTGCAATTCTAAAACCATCTTTAGATTTGTGTTGGTCAGGTCTGGTCAAGCGGCTTGGTGCTGCCGAACTCTAATGTTTAATGTATTTGAAACCATTCCCCACCTCAGTGATACCATCTCCTGTTGTAACTATTTGGTAAAAAAACCACTTGGTAAATGACATCCTCCTGTCACCAAATTTCTGGAACAGGAAATCCTTTGGTCATGTTGTCAAAAGTCCCTCTGAAAGAATAGGAGGGTCGACAGAGTTTTAGGAGACAGTATAAGAAACAAGTATGAATTTTGAAGAACAGAAGCTTAAAAAATGATTAAGTTTGAAATTAACTTAATTTACGTATAACACCTTATGTTTCAATATTTATTCAGGGCTTCTCATTATTCTACAATACAATATAACAATATGGTCTATTTTGACATGGTTGATTCAATTCAAAGCTCTATATGCAGCCAAAAAAAAGGGTGTTTGGAATTCTTTCAGTTTTGAAAAATAACAATGAATATAATTCATCTATTAGTTCATTTGTAGTAGAACAAAAATGAATTGGAGGGTGGAGATTTGGGGTAAAGGTGATTATTATTTTATGTATGCCTTTTATAAGATATAGATGGCCCTTTATCAATAAGTATTATTAATTGCATTAAAAATCAACACGAATTTACTTCCATAATTTCCTATATGAATGTAAGCAAAATATTCAACTCTTGTTAATAATTACTCTACATTAATAAGAAGGCCATAACGACTAACGAGAAATGTGTATTTCAAAAATATTTACATAGCTTGTGAATTGATGATATTATGGGCAATACTTGTGTTAATGACTTATAAAGAATCAAACTTAAATCACCGGTGGGGAGCTGGTGTAGGTGCAGGAACGCTCATTAAGGGGGAGTCGATCTTTTCTGGACTGGGGCAAGTACTTGGCTCAAAAGTGGAGATTTTTTCCTGTAGAGTTTCTACTGTTGACCGTACAGAGTCAGAGAGCTGTGGACAGGCCTCGATGTTAGTGTGTATAGACATACAAGTACAAGAGCTGACTTTACCTGGTATGGACAGAACAGTTAAAAGTAAGCTTCATCAACTTTACAACATGAAATTGACTACCTACTTGGCTACATAAAAATTTGCCTTTAGCTTAATGAAAATAATGAGACCCACATCTTTGTCCAGTGTAATTTCCTCTAGAAGGCTGTCCAGTCGTGCACGGGGCAGTCTGTGGTGGACGTGCATCAGCAATCGTAATAAATGTCTGAGGACATGCTCTCTGGAAGAGGCAGGCTGGGAAAACATTGTGTTCTTTTATTAAGTTGTGAACAAGGCACAAAGGATCATCATATAAAAAGTTTACCCTAAATGTACGTTCACACTGCAGATTTGCTGCAGTGACAAATCTCAGTGGTTAAACAATGCTGAGAATCCACAGATATCCCACATAGGAATTCATACTGAGTAGACACAACTATTGCTTCTGATGCAGAATTTTCGTTTATATTTATCAATTGGGGAAATTTAAATGAATAAATTCTGCTTTTTTCGTTTGAATATGATTTTACCAATAGCCACCCATGCAGGGGAAAACCCGTAAAATAAAAAACAACTATCTTTTAACTAATTCCATTTTTTTTAAAACAATACATTTTTCCTCTAATCTTTTCTTGTCTTGCCCACTCAAATAAAATCAAACTTGAAAATTTTGTCACAAATTTTAACTAAAAAATATTCCAACTGGTAGGGATACTATTGAATACAACTAATAATTAAAATTTGTAATCAAGCCATGTCAGCTGATGACAGCACTTGCACAATGATGAAAATATAATGGGATTGTGTACATTACCAGCCAACCACTATGCTGCAACTCAAAACAAAATCATGAAAATGAAACTTGCCCACCGGTTTCTGTTACAGCGATTAGCACATGTTCTTAGAAAACTGAGAATCTGAGTAACAATTATGCAGAATGAACATACCTTTAACATGTTTAAATTCAAAAAATGTTTTTTTAAAAAAAGAAAGAAAGAAAATGGAGTCTATTAGATTTGTCAAGAGTCACAACTTTGCACTAGCACTTCATGTGTAAAACTAACAAGTAACACATCTAACCAACAAACATGTTACATTTTAGCTGCACAGATCATCAACCAGTTTTACTACTCAATTCTATTGTTATTATTTTTCTTCATCAAGTTCATATTAATATAATAAAACCAAGTAGTAGTACTGGATGATGATCTTTAGCAAAAATAATAAACCTCAATTGATGTGCTTGGTTTCATGACTTTAAAAAAAAATAACCCTTAATGAGTGTCCAGTGGTTCAAATGGGATGGATGGCAATGTTGGACAGCCCTGGCACCCTGTCATGGAACGATACTGTTCGCATGCAGTTCCCAGGATTATTTGAAATCAAGGGCCCACAACAAAACAAAAACTCACAACAAAGAAATCGTCCAACACGGCTGTACAGAACTCTCCATGCTGAAAGTCCTCCTTCATGTGGATGAGGTATGAGGCGAGACAATGCAGAAATGTGTCACTGTATGCCCTGTCGTTTTCACAATGGATCAGCGTTGGCAGGATCTGGATGACGGCCAGGCGGTCCTTCATTCTAGCACACTGGAACAGAGAGAACGACAAACAGTTTTAGATAACTGGATGGAAGGTAACACAATAATAACTAACCTAATATTGAGAGAAAGAAATATCCCAACAACTACATTTATATAACAGATATATTAGGAATTATTCTAGTGTTTATTTATTATTCTAGAGCATACCATCTTAGATTAGAGCATACCACCCTTCGGTAAAGTATGCCACCCTTCGGTAAAGTATGCCACCCTTCAGTAAAGTATACAGCCCTTCAGTAAAGTATACAACCCTTCAGCAAAGTATACAACCCTTCAGTAAAGTATATTCTTCAGTAAAGTGTTCCACACTTCAATAAAGTATTCCACCACAGTGTAACCATCTTCAGAGTTTTCTACCCTAGAATTTTCTCCATGATCGTTGCGTGTAAAAGTGGAATCACAAATTATTATACATAGCCACCATACTGGCAGCCATAAGTTGATTTACCTGTAAACAATATTATATAGCCACCATACTGGCCAGCTTTTAGTTGATTTACCTGTAAACAATAATACATAGCCACCATACTAGCCAGTGGGTTGAGACTTATCCAGTTAGCATACATGTCAGGTGGTAAAGATGGGGGCAGGACTTTCTCGCCTGGAATTTTTCCCGTAAAATGCCGTACTTGATCTTCTGCCATTAAGGTCACAATATAGGCCAGGAATTTGGTAAAAAACGTCGGGTCCTGAAATACAGGGAGATAATTATCAGAGCCGAATGACCCAGGAAATTAATCATCCTTCCCACTGTACATCAGAGCTATTTACCAAGCCATGTTTGTACAAGTGTTGTCAGATCTCCATTAAAAACTACTTTGGTTAAGTGCGATCACTTTTTTGGTTAATTGTGATCAGATTCTAATCATTGAGACTCACCAATTTGGCTAATCATTGAGACTCACCAATTTGGGTTCTTTAAAGTTACCACTGTCTATCATCTCCCAGGCATTAAGACCAAGGGCGGTCATCCTGCACAGCAGCTGTAGATCTGGGTTATCCTGGGTATAAGATAAAATGTTGTAAACTAGAAGTGCAAAATTTCTCAGCAGTAGTAAAAAAAAATACCCCCCAAAAACATGTAGTTCTTGTTTTAAATGCAGATGAAAAACAAATAAGGGTAGTCAATGTGTATAGCGTGGTCACTGGACGAGAGCACCAGATTTTAGGTCACTTTAAGTAGGGTAGTAAACAGCTCAAGGTTCTCATGAGAAAATTATAATTGAATTAGATGCATTTCTCATTTACGTAATATGTTGTTCTGATTTTTGATCAGATAGATAAACTGAAGGCAAATTCAACAATGAAGAAATTCATATCTCTTCAGAAAGTCAACAAAATGTTTGCCTCCACACAGTGGGCAAACTTAAAACAGCAAATGCAAACAGAAGATCACAAGAGGCTTATCTACCCTCGGCAAGGTGTCTGTGTTCACACAATTCTGTAACATCTTCATCAGGGACTGGAGGATTATGTTCAAAGCATATGGATCAGACAGAACCATTGAAAGATCTCTGCAAATGATAACGGTATATCATTAAAATCAATTGTGCAAAAGATTCTTAACATTTTTTTTTACATATTTATACGTTTGTATTCAACAGTCCTTGCCAGATCTCTAGATTGCTCCCCCCACCGCAATAACTAAAAACTGTTGACTGTAGCTTTAGGCACTATTTTTAAGATGGATCTTGGTTTGGTCCTTCCATCCTGGTTTCTGGAACAGTGCTGATGCCCATCCAATAGATTTTTCATATATTTTAACACACAGGCAGACTATAACTCTAATAAAAACTTGTCTTCTTTTTTTCATTGCCCCATGCTCTTATGATTGCTCCTTGATTTTCAAATAGTCAAATCTGATTAATGTGAAGATTATTCCATTGGTATCTCTACAGCACCACTAATATTTACATCTTCTTAATGTTTTAGCAGATAAGATTTTTTTTAAACACTCAATAGTAATCTCATTTTGGTTGCATAAATCTGAAAACAGCTGTGTCGCAAACTGTAACTACTGTCTCTGCACATGTGTCGTGAACTGTAGCTACTGTCTTCACAAATGACCACATACCCTAAAACAAACTCTTGTCCCTTTTTGACAGAGTCCAAAAATCCTTGGAGTTCCCTTGACCTCATTGCATTCACTGTCTTTTCTCTGATACAAGCATCGACACACCAGGTAAATTTGTGACACGGATCCTTTGAACAAATTGAGTTCAGCTCCAGGTCATGGATGGCCATAAGCAGCTCTACCCTGCAAGAACAGGAAGACCTTTTAGAGTTATTCTGCTACTAACTTAGAATGCCTTAATTCTTTGACTATTAGATTAGAATGCCTTAATTTTGATAAATATTGCATCAAGTTATTCTAATGTAATTTTTAATCAGAATTAAGGTATTCTATGGTTATTGTTTAAAGAATTAAGTTGTTCTAAAGTAATTGAAATTTAAAAGAATTAAAAATAATACATTTATTTTTTAAGCAATTAAATTAGAATCCCTTAAGTTTTCATTAGAATAGTTTAATTCTGAAAACAAATACCTTAAAGTACAATAATGTGTATTTCTTGTCCTCAAGAATAAAGTGCGTAGGAACTGAAGAACCATGTCGTACAACTTAACATTAGAACCAATCATCTCAAGGAGCTGAGTCAGGGTTGCCTTCTGTCGCCGAAGTTTGGGGTTGGAGGAGAAGAACGTGAGCCCTGGGCTGTCGTGACGGTACAGCGACCATTCTTTTTCTTTCAGGTACTGAGCCAGAAGGGGTTGAACTTCATCGCCAAAAAGGGATTGGTTGTTTTCCCATATTTGTCGCTTGACTTCTGTAGCTGCCTCTGTGTAAAGCTCCTTGAACAATAATACACACTTTTATCATTTATTATCCATTGAAATATTTTTTATTTTTTTTTAAATGATAATTTTTTAAAAAGAATTTAAGGCAAAGAATCTTTAATGAGCTTTTAAGATTTTGGATAGAAAAATCCAAGCTTTGCCAAATTTAAAAACTTAGCTGATCCAAAATTACAATTTGCTGGATTCATTTACCTGAGCAGGAGCAATAACTGAGACTTAACTTTTCATCAAGGATTCTGTCATGAATTATTGTTAAAAAGTTACTTTACATTTCTATATAGCATTATAAATGATATTGTTACTTTGTCTTCCAACAACTGTTGCAGATATTCTTCCTTGACCTTGGGGAGATGTTTCATTACAGCCATAACAACTGGTCTAATATCCTTGTTCCTTATTGCTGGAAAGCTGTTATCCAAAAGTGTTTCAAGTTTTTGTATTGATTCCGGATCATTGCTGGATGCCAATTCAGCTATTTTCTAAAACATTTGAAGAAAAATATTACACTTATTTTAAAAAATATTTCCTTTTTGAGTTTTAATTTATGTCATTTTTGCTTTAAGTCTCTGTAATTTCCTGATTGTAATCTGGTGCTAATAAATACAGAAATTAACATGCATATTAAGATGACTCTTAGGAAACAAGAAAGCGGCCGATACAAATTAAATCAAAATAGTAAATGTATTAAAAGCTTTTTATAAGGTGACTGTGGGTGCATTAAGAAAATATGCCAATTCTCACAATTATGTCACTCTTGCTATAATATACTACTCATAAAATTCACTCACTACAACAGAAATGGTTTTGTATTCTTTTAAGGAGAGAAGTTAAATGAAAATAGTAAATGTATTAAAAGCTTTGGCAACATTTATAAGGTCAATGTGGTGCAGTAAGAAAATATTATGCCACGTCTCACAATTATGTCACTCTTGCTATGAATAAACTACTCATAAAATTAAAATTCACTCACTACAACAGAAATGGTTTTGTATTCATTTAAATAGCGATCACATTTCAATTTCTAGTGCCATCTACTATTTCTTATTATCTTTTAATCATTAGTCCTGTAGAATGTTTTACTATCAAATGTTTCATTTCTTATGTGAAAGTTTCTAACAAAAGGGATTTTTATTTATTCATGAGTATTCTCTAATTACACTAACTGACTACTTAAAAAATATAATTCAACAATTTTGATTTTCAAACCATCTCCAGTCTACTATATCCTGTTTCAAATTGGTTGGCAATATTTCTAGATACTTTCCATACTAATTTATAGAAAAAAAAAGGCTGTGATAAAAATGGGCCTCAGAAACAGCATTTTACTCTGAGACTACTGGTAAATTTGAATGTCCATCAATAAAACTCATTATTTTACCTGTAATAACCTCTCACGGATGGTTTCAAAAATGCACAGGTTGAGAGTTAATCTTTTGATACCATGTAAATCCAGGAAAGGGAGGGCAATCTTGAGAGACTCAGCATCAATACCATTCAAGTTCTGAAACTCTTGAATCGCATTCAATGGATCTGCAGATGTGGTCAGAGCAATGTTTAAATGGGTACCAGTAGCAATGCCAATTTTATCCAGGCCAGTGTCTTTTGACATCTGTTGAAAAAAAATTCACATGAAAATCAAAGAGATAGATAAATGTTCAATCTTTGATGTCCTTGCTGCTTAAAAAAAAAGGCCAGGATTAAATTATGCTTAGTTGAAATCATCCCCTTAGTTACAGTTCAGCACTACCATTAAATTTATTTTTGAGTTATTACCCCAAAATATATTTGTTTTTGCAGACAGTAGCCCCTGGATTTAAAGGGGAGTAAATCTTTGACTATTTAAATTGAAAATTGGTAAATTTACACAATCCGCGCCACGTATTTTCCGCAGCATGTCTCATGGCGGACGTGCAAACAAAAAGTAGTGCAAACACATTTCTCTCATCTGCTCATATGGGAGGGGAAAGAGCGAATGTGATGTTTTAGCTACTTGCCAAGAGAAACGAAAAAGGAACAAAAACGTTAAAATATAAATAATTTAATATATGCATTTTTAAGGCCTCATTAATAATTATAAAGTAGGCTATATAAAATCTCAAGCTTTAAATATATAGTTTTAAATTTAAGCTCTTGTATTGTTGGTTTTTCAAAAAATTATATAAATTAATACATACTAATAAGTTACTAAGACCTGTGCCTATAACTATAATAAATTAGTATAATTTAGTTATATATAAATGAGTTAGTAGTAAGTTAGTTAGTTTGTGAGCTGAGTAGGCTAATGGCTAGTGGTACTGACACTGTGAGGTAACTATGAGTATTAGTAGTCTAAGGCCAACCCCAAGGCTAAGTAATGTAGTAAGAAGGCCAGGCGAAACTTTTTATTTTTGGATTATAAATATTTAATATTATATAAATATAATCGGTAAATTTATTTTTGAGTTATCACCCCAAAATATATTTGTTTTTGCAGACAGTAGCCCCTGGATTTAAAGGGGAGTAAATCTTTGACTATTTAAATTGAAAATTGGTAAATTTACACAATCCGCGCCACGTATTTTCCGCAGCATGTCTCATGGCGGACGTGCAAACAAAAAGTAGTGCAAACACATTTCTCTCATCTGCTCATATGGGAGGGGAAAGAGCGAATGTGATGTTTTAGCTACTTGCCAAGAGAAACGAAAAAGGAACAAAAACGTTAAAATATAAATAATTTAATATATGCATTTTTAAGGCCTCATTAATAATTATAAAGTAGGCTATATAAAATCTCAAGCTTTAAATATATAGTTTTAAATTTAAGCTCTTGTATTGTTGGTTTTTCAAAAAATTATATAAATTAATACATACTAATAAGTTACTAAGACCTGTGCCTATAACTATAATAAATTAGTATAATTTAGTTATATATAAATGAGTTAGTAGTAAGTTAGTTAGTTTGTGAGCTGAGTAGGCTAGTGGCTAGTGGTACTGACACTGTGAGGTAACTATGAGTATTAGTAGTCTAATGCCAACCCCAAGGCTAAGTAATGTAGTAAGAAGGCCAGGCGAAACTTTTTATTTGTGGATTATAAATATTTAATATTATATAAATATAATCGGTAAATTAAGAGAGATAGCACCACGGCCGCTATCTTGGTTGCCGCGACCCACGAACTTATGTCCTAAATCTATCCCTAAACCTAACCTGAACCGTAAACTTATCCCTAACCTGGGTTTTGACCCTATCAGAACCAGGGCTTTGACCCTATCGGAATCAGAGTTTGACCCATCGGAACTAGGGACAAAACATGCAAATGACGTCATGGTGCTATCTCTCCAAATTAGCAATATAATAATATTTTATCATTAATCATATAATATGATTATTCATTATTTTTATTTTATGGAAGGAATGTATGGCTTTATCAACTTAATGAATGTGAGTAATACTAACTAATACAGAATTATGTTTAGTAAATTTTAAGGACGAATGCCACTATTTTATCGAATTTCACGAATGACGAATGTATCCCTAAATCGATCCCTACGCCTAACCTGAACCCTAAATCGATCCCTATGCCTAACCTGGACCCTAAATCGATCCCTATGCCTAACCTGAACCCTAAATCGATCCCTCAACCTAACCTAATTCACTCGGACTGCAACTTTAATAAACACACAAAAGACGCCGTGGCATCCGTAATTAATTTTAGCCTTATGTTTCATATTATTTATTGAGTACCTTGATTATGCATGCAATAATTTGGCTATATTTTAATAAATAAACAATAGGAAATGTAATGTTCCGTTTTAAATCGATTTTGTTGTGGTTAATATTCAAACTCAATGGACGCGGCCATTTTTAAATATTTTGTTCAAAATGCAAAATACATTAGTTAAAGTTTGTAAACAAACTATACAGGAAAGCTCTAATTAAAATTATTTTAATAAAAGATAATTTTTTTAAAGATTTATGATTAGATAATTTATATACTTTTAATAAAATGGTTACAAATTTTATTATTATTTGTAAAAAAAAATTGAAGGATCGAAATGTCTGCAATTCTCAAGTTTTCTTTTTACAAGTTTTAAAGGGACACTACTTTCTTAATCAAAATTATTTATAGGCGTGGCATTTCCCTTTCCCTTTCGTTTTCAGGAAGCAAGCTATTACTAGTCACTAGTGGTTTGGTGAATCATCATTAAAATATTATTTACAAAACTTTTAAGTAAAGATTTACTAGTAAAGAAACAAACCAGCTTTAAAAGGTAAAATAATTCGAGCTTAACTGTTAAGGCTTAAAAATGTGAAGCCCTAAGGCTAAGCCGCCTAGCCTAATTACATTTTTTTTCCTTCTATTTATAAATTTAAAAATTTAAGAAATAAATAAGACAAAAAGATTAATATAATTATAAGTTAATAAATTATAATAAATATAATGTGTAGTAAGTGTAGTGTTAGCCTAGGTAGACCAGGACCTACTAATTTTACTATTATATTACTACTTATACTTCTACTACTAGACTAGGACAAGTCTATTTATAATTTATTATTTATTAAATTAGTAACTATATATAAATTAAATATATGCATTATCATTATATGATATGTATGATCTGATAACCCATATCTATGCCTTGCCGGCCTATGGCTATATTATATCTATTAATTACTATACTTATACTGCCTATAATTAGCAATCTGATAATCTCATAATTTAAATTGTAGTTTAGTATAAATTCATGATATCATCATACTCATAGACTCTTATTAAAACGAAAAAAGGTTGTATTTGAAAACTTTCCGTCTAGTCTTTCATACATTCATAGATTCTTAACTAAGTTTTTTCAAATTTCGATTTTATTTCCTTTTGTTTTTATTATTGTGTTTGTCGATGAAGGCATTCAGCCAAAGCGTAAGTTGAATTTTCCTCAAGTTGTGTCGCAATTCGGGCTTTCACTTTTGCATACCATGTCCTTGATTATGTTATTTAATCTTACTATATTATCCTTGAGCTGTTACTAAGAAGTACTAAGTTTTTAAAAAATGAAATATTATATACTTTTTTGTTGTTCAAAGGAAATAATTAAATAGTTGAGTTTTGAAAGCTTAATTTTTATTTCTTTTCATAATTTAAGGTTAAAGAATTTTTAAAATTTAGTTTTGATTTATTTAAACGATGAATTTTGATATTTTCTTTATAATAAAAAATTTTTAAAACTCTAACCTAAGACATATTAAAGTAAAGTAATTACTATTTTATTTTCATGAGTGTAAGTAAGTAAATGCAATTAAATATTTTTTTAATCCAACACAAATTTTAGTGAGTAATTATCAAGATTAATAACATATATTGGTCTCAATTTTAACTTTAAACTGAATGTTTGCTCAAACAAATGGCTGGGTTTAATTTGCTGATTAAAACACTGGGGAAATGAGAAACACTGGGGGGAAGAAAAACCTGATGGAAGAAAAAACAATAGAACATGTTGGCAAAAGCCCTTTATAACACACAATACCAATCAAATCAAAATAATTAACATTTATCTTATGCCCCGAAGTACTGAAAGCTGTTAGGCACGACATTTATTTCATTTACAACTTGTAATATGAATCCATGTGAAGCCTGTTCCTCAAAGTTAGACGATTGCTCATTTGTTCTTCTTTCAATTGTGCTATGAGTCAGTGGCCATGTTGGTTTTTTCCTTTTCAAATAACAAATGTTCAAACAGACTTAATAAGTCTAGGCCTTAATGTCCTATAATTAATGCAATTGGATGACTCTGTTAACATCAGAACCTTTTCAATATGCACTCATGATTTTGTTCACTTCTTAATTCCCAAGATTCCATGTTTGGTAATAAAATAAATACTGACATCCATCAAACTATTAAAACACAAAATGTATAACTCTTTAAATCTAAAGTTGATTTTCCATGACCTTTGACATCCTGGAATTTTAAAGATTTTTAACTCTGTAAGAAAATCTTCTAGTTTTCAAAACATCAAAAGTATTTTGTTGAGAATGATTTCACAAATTTATCCATGATTTCTGAATTTAACTTGTACCTGTCACATCTAGATGAGCACAGACGTTCGGTTTGAGGATGAATCTGCTTTCAGTGCAGCAATTTCAGATGTCAGGAATGACAACAGTGAAGTGAATTATGTCATTTGTGGACATGTTGATGGGAAGCCCAATGTAATTGGAGTTCTCTACACGGGCCTTGACCCATCTGAAATAGGCTCCAAGATGGACCCGTCTGAGTCATTGTATGCCCTGGCTCGATATGAGACAAAGTTTGACTTGTCCACTACTGTCAAGTTCGTTTACATCCATTGGTAAGATTAGTTTTTGGACATCTTTGTCTCCCTTCAGCATTTTTAAATAACTACTTACCTGCATATATATTTTCAAACAAATTTCTTACATTGACCGTTATTATCCTTTACATTGACATCAATAATTCCTATAAGATTCTATAATTTCAACAAATCATATTATCCCTGGCCAGGATTGGAGAGAGTTTACCAGTTGCAAAGAAGGGCAGGTATGGAGTAGTCCATGGAAGTATCGAGGCGAGGTTTTCTCCTTATCATCTCCTTGTAGAGGCCAGTACACCAGAGGATTTGTCCAGTGACAAGATTTTACAAACAGTAATTTTCTTTAAACTAACTTTACTTTGTGAAAGTAAAAGGTCATTGGGGAAAAGGGGGGGGGGGGGGATATTTTGAAAATGTTCTATCAGATATGGTCTAGTGTAGGGGTGGGCAAACTTTTTGTGCGGTGGGCCACATTGAAAAATGTAAAGCTATTGGGGGGGCCGCATGTATATTATGTCCAATTTTTACATGTTGATAAAAATTTCTCTATATTTGGTAAATTTGTATTTTAGCATTACATGAAAAAAGTCAAGGACTGTTTAATAAAATTGAAAATTAGAAAGAAAGTTGATCAAAAATGTTAAAACAATCACAAGGGTACATGAAATTCTGTAAAATTAAACAAAATAACTTTAAAACAAAGAATTTTTAAATTTCTTAATGCCTTTGAGAGCTGCATAATATCAGTTGCCGGGGTGCATGCGGTCCAGGGCTGTACTTTGCAAACCCCTGGTCAAGTGGCATCTTTAAACGCCACCAGGTCATTGTTATTTTTCTAGATGAATTGGTCATAGACATTTAAAAAATGTGGCTTTAAAGTCCATAATTTGAAAAATTTCATATAAATAGATCTGAAAGCTTGTCCACTTAAAGGGAAATTAAGGAAAGTTCATGAAATGCTCAGTTAAAATTTTTATTTGTATAAATTTGGGAATAATCATTTAATTTCAATCTCCCTCCCACCCTTCCCATCTCAGCTGGCATAACTACACTGAAAACTTTTATTTGTCATGTTTATGTTTATCATTGTTGTTCTTGGATTCCTCATTTCTGAGTCTTAATCTTTGAGCATCTCAATAACCCACATGGTCACAGATGATCCAACCCAATTAGACAAGCTGAACACTCTTAGCCTTTGTTTTTTTTTCAGTTGATGGAATCGGCAGGGACCAAGTCGAAAGTTTTAGACGATGATCAAATTCCTCAACGACAGATGAGGGGCTTCACCGCCACCCAGCTACCACAGCGGAACAAGAAAGCCAACTTCGGCGTCTCTGCCGTGTCTACTAAAGGGGCTGAGGTGGAAATTTTACCAGAGGTCCAGGAAGCCGTAGCAAGAGTCAGAAGTGATGGAGACCTGGCGACATGGATGGTGGCTGGATACAAGGATTCTAATCCAAAGGGTATTTATTCAAATGAATGTGCTGATGGTATATATGAATATAGATAGATAGAGATAAGATTCTTTTATTGATCCAAACAAATGAAAATGCTTTTTGATTGCATTGTTCATTTTCAGCATCTACTTATAAAAGATATAGGTTCCAATAGTCATAAATAGGTGTATAAAATATATTGTATTTATGTATGTATGAAAGCTTTCCAGGCAATGGCAGGCCATCTGCGTTCTCCCAGTGGAATATAGCCTTGGCAATCTTGGCATGCAATGCTAACAATACTATATATATCTATATAAAGTATATTTGCTAATGGCATTAGTATAAAAGTGACTTTCATAATAGACTAAAGTCACCTTTACAATTTGAAGACTGATTTACAAGAAAAAATATTTTCAAAATGGTGGAAATTAATTGTGTATGTTGCCAGAGAATAGCAGACATACGAGGTAAAATGTTAATTTTGACAATATCTCAGATTGAGAGTACTGACATGCTAACTGACATGTATGTTTTTTTTTTTAAAGTATTGGGTATAAGCTTTTTATTTAGTTTGGATCTAGTAATAAGAATGTTTAAACTGATGAGCTGCACAAAGTATTTCTTACTTTCTTACTCATATGTATGGGGCATAGGCTATCAACAAGAATTCTCCATTCATCTCGATCCCTCCCTTTTCTTTCCAGTTGCTTCCAGGTGTTTCCCATGCTTTGTGTGTCTGCCTTTAGCTCATGTCTCCAGGTATTTTTTGGCCTTTCCTCCTTTTTCACTCTGGGTTACATGTTATGGATTGTGTGGTGATGTGTTTTGGGGGTTTACGAAGAGTGTGCCCTATCCACCTCCATCATTTCCTTACGATCTCTTTAGCAAAAGGCTCTTGGTATGTCCTCTCCAGTAATGATTTTGGCCATTTTATGTTTAGGGTCTTTCTAAGGCAAGTGTTTGTGAAGATCTGCACTTTCTGCATCATGCTTGTTGTTGTTCTCCAAGTTTCAACTCCATATAGTAGGACTGATGTTTTGTTGTGTAATTGTGTTGAAAAACATTATGAGCTTTACAATGTATTTCTTTAATTCTATTTCTAATCAAAATCAGTAATTAAAATCAATACTCTGCATTTCTTCCAGGCCCCCTGGTGTGCATGGGATGTGGAGAAGGGGGTTTGGATGAACTCAAGAGCAACCTGGATGACTCTCTGCCCATGTACGGCTTGTATCGCATCAGTCACACAGACGCTGATGAGATCACTACGGTCAAGTTTGTTTACATTTGCTGGTCAGTGTGCTCATACATAAAAATATATTCAACTATTGGGTCATTAAAACAAATAAGAAATAAGAAATTTGTTTAAACTTAAAATTTCACTGCTTGATATCACTGGATATTTTCACTAAATGCTTGTTACAATTACAATATTTCATAATGTAGAAATATTTCATAACTTAGAAATGTCTCATAACACAAATATTTCATAACATATAGAAATATTTCTTATCTTAGAAAATATATTAAATAAAAGTATAAGCCCCTTTCCATTTTTAAAAAAAAAATTTTATTTAAAAAATTTTTTTTTCTATTAAATATATTATTTGGGAGCGAAATGTTTGTGTATTGCATTAATATAATCTCAATTACTTGCATAAATCCAACACTTATCACAATTAAAATACTTCACATTTGAAGCTTGGATATTGTGCCTTAAAGTTATGTTGCCAGTATCTCCCAATCATTGGGATGACCAACTTAAAGTACACAACTAGAACTTATATTGGTCTTATTCTAAAGAATCAAATGCAGAACCTCTTACGAATTCACTTCATCTTTGACCAGGGTAGGGACAAAGGTCAAGCCAATGGCCAAAGCAAAAATCTCGACCCACAAAGGAACAGCTGAAGAGATTTTCTGCCCTGCCCATGTCACAGTGTATGCCTCGGAGCTCTCGGATATTGTTGAACGTAACATTATGGAGAAGGTTCGTAGCTATACTTTATAAAAAATTTAATATTTTTTTATTTGCTACCTGAAGCTTACAAAGTATAGTTTATAAATAGCACTTGACAAATATTATATAATAAATTATAGGTGACTTTTGCAAACACATATTATACAAATGATGATAATAAATGTCAAACACTAAATTTGTGTCGATTTGTTCAACAGATCAGACAACAGGCTGCCCAGTAAGCTTTGGCAGTTAGAGAATTGAATATGATTAATCTTTGATCAGATAAAGATTTTCATACTGATTAAGCTTTTGTCAGTTAGAGATTTTAATATGATTAATCTTTGGTCAGATAGAGATTTTAATATGATTAATCTTTGGTCAGATAGAGATTTTAATATGATTAATTTTTGGTCAGATAGAGATTTTAATATGATTAATCTTAGATCAGATAAAGATTTTAATATGATCAAGCTTTGGTCAGTTAGATATTTTAATACTGATTAATTTTTTGTCCGACAGAGATTTTGATACCGATAAGCTTTGGTCATTTAGAGATATTAAATATTTGCTTGATTTATTGGTCATTTAAAGACTGTAAGGCATGTATAATTATTTTAATATCAAATTTTTACCTTTTTTTACATCACACTCATACTTGTGATGGCATTTTATACATGAAATATTTCACATATCTAAATGTTTATATCAAAACAACTAGGAATAGTTTATTGAGACAAGCCTTATGTATACAAAAATATCCAAAGATTGACTGTCATTTTTTTTGGTAGTTGTGTATAATCAATTGGTGCTGCATGGACATTATGTATTCCTACAGTTATTATTATTCCTTTTATTGTTTTATTATTGTGATAATGAAAATGTACTTGACCAGTAACATTCACTGTTGTGTTATTGTCACTATTAACATTTTGTAGCATAAAGTTATACTTGAACATGAATAATTAAAATATAAAATATATGAGAGTAACAAAAAAATACTCATTTGGATTTCAAAAGAAATGTATATTTTACATTTTAACTCACAACCTACCAGCGACCCTATTAAATATGGTAGCTTTATTTTTGTTTGGTTAATATAAATTAATTTTAAAAACTATTAATGATTTTGGTTCTAGGCTTTTTCCCTAATAGAAAATTCCCCCAATAAAAATTCCCCACAAGAATGTTGCGCACACTAACAAAGCGAAATATACAAAGCGGAATATTCCGCAAATAGAAAATTCCCTACTTTTTTTTGGCAATAAAATTTTTTTTTACTTTAAAATGTTTTTAAAAAGGCATGTCATTTTTTTTTATCAAAGTTATGATTCGATGATCAACGTGGCCTGGAATTTACCTAAGTGGTCTAAATAACAGTATATTATTAATTGTGAAGAATTTTTCAAAATATTGTTCTAAAAATTTCTTGTGGTAGAATATACATACTCTAGACCACATTTGATGTGTTTTAAAGTAAATAAATAATTAATAATAAAGGAAAGATTATTAAACTATAATTTTCAAAATCTTGGTGGACTTGAACCAGCATAAACTCAGATGTGATCAGCTAGCTGAATTAAAGTTAAAGTAATTGGCCTCCTCAAAACATAGACAGAAAACCGCAATTTCCCCTTTTTAAAATATAAAATGTGTATTTAATTGAAGTCTGGCCTGCCAATATACTTTTCTTTACATTCCTGTAGCACTTGCAGCAAGTACCAAGAAAATTAATCTGGGGAGTAAACGGGTGCAGAAGCATTTTGTGGGGAATATGCTGTGTTTTCATTGTGCACAATCTTTTTGTGGGGAATTTTCATGTGCTGCATTTACCCATGAGGATTTTTGTGTGGGGAATAAACCTTTCACCAATCATTTTAATGGTAAATTGCATTAACTGTTTCTTCTTCTTCTTCTATATCTTAAGGGCCCACGATCAATTTATTGATCATTTTGGCTCCTATGCATGTAGATGGGATTTGCAATGTTTCTGTTACTGGTGTTGATGAGGAAATCATGCACTAGGGTTAAGTTCTTGGAAGTCAGTGAGTTAAAACTGATTTTGTTTTACATGCAAAACTCAAGGAAGTTGATGCATGTCATATATTATATTTTTTGTTATATTGTATTTTTATAATTTGTTATAAAGCCTTTCATTATGTTTTATGATTGTATTTCATAATGGAATATTTGTATGTTTACACTTATTGCGATCTGAACTTTGGTTGACTTTTCTCAAAAGTGCTTGCTTCCTTGTTAACTGTTCTGAAGTATCTTTAGAAGTTAGAATGTATTAGTTACATATGATAGGCATGATGTGTACAAACATAGTTTTACTGATAAGTTACTTTAACTTTGGTAACCCAAGATCCTATGTCTTGTTGACCATCTCGTCCTATGTAAAACCAATTTAACTGTTACGATTTCAATGTTTTAGTGTTAGAAAGTTAAGTGTACACTTTTTATTATTTTAAAAACTAGTCAAGTTTGGTGGTGTAATTGAGCTAAATGGCACCCAGGGCAAATACTAAACTTGGCACCTCCAGGGTTATTACAAAACTCAGAACCCTTAGGAACTTGGCCTGGATTGGAGATTATTATTTAAAACTAAAGTTTCAAAAAGTTTGGTCTATTAATAAGTAAATAATTTTCAACAACAAAAACATGGCTATTTTATTATCATAATGTTTATCTCATATATTTAAAAAATCAACTACAAAAAGTTATCACCTGCTGTTTTTTCATATGGTGGAAATGACCCCTACCTGAGTGTGTTTCCCAGGTCATGTGCCCCACTGGTCATTTACCTGAGTGTGTCTCCCAGGTCATGTGCCCTGCTGGTCAAGTACCTGAGTATGTTTCCCAGGTCATGTACCCTAATGGTCATCTGCCTACTAGTCAGTTATACCATTCATCTAGTAATGTTAAAGTTGCCTCACTCAATCCATCATCATAGGCACAGTGCAGCCCCATGTTGCCTCTCTATTGCCAATCTTCATAGACTTTTGTGGGGAATTTTAGAAAAAAGATTTAAAATTATTAAATTCATTATAGTTGTAAGCTATTTTAGAATGTCATTGACAGATAATAAAAAATTTAAGAAATGGACCAAGTTTGTTTGTCATCAACTAAGTTTCAGAATATATATGCCATTTTGTGTAACCCATGTAACATGATATTATTTTTTTATGTCGGATGACAAATCAAGGGGGACCAAAGATATTTTGTTCCATGTTTTTGTTTTAATGACATTGTAATACATCTCAGTTGTTTTTTTCCGGTTTAAAAAGATTTCTATAAAGCTTCTTTCTTACTATGCAATTTATCCTGACTTTAAGTTACATTTTTCTTTGCATGATCACATTAAGTTTAATTATTTCTCAATTATGATCAATATTTCTTAGTTTTTATTTTCTTATAATTTGAAGTGTTTAAAAATAATAACTTAACTTTCAGTCAAAAGAGTTCCAACCATTTCCTACTTTTCTCCATAAGATTTGTCAAGTATATATAATGAAATCAGTATAACATGATCTAAAAATCTTTGGTTGCATTGCTAAAGAAATTAAATCTCACTTTTCTATTTGTTTTTGTCAGACACTTTGGTATATGAACAATTTGTGTCTTCCACTGTCATTATTATTCATTATGCAACATTTAATCCTTTTTTTTTTTCTTAAAATCTGAAACTTTAAAAAAATCTTGAGTGTTTCTTCTTAATATGAATACATTAAAGCTGCGGGCAAAAAAACTTTGAATTGGTTCTTATATTTTGAGATATTTAATTTAAAAGATTGAAAAAATATGAACTGAACGTTAGAGAGCAGATTCCAAGTTTTGAACAGAAAAGAAAAGTCTGAATACAATTTTTAAAGGTGGCTGATGTTTTTTGGTTGTATATGACTTCAAAATGAGGCCATGTACATTGGATGGAAGAATTTATCATCAAATTTTTGTTATATTGACTTTTGAGGGCACTAGACACTAACCTTTTATCTTTATTAAGTAAATTCATCATAATAGTTTATATAACCTTATATGCACTATATGGCTATGCATGATATTAATTGGTCAAATTTGAAACAACTGGAAATTATTCTAATCTTACCTTATCTCATTTTATTATTATTTTATTTGAAACACAAAACTTTCAGTGAATTAAAATTTTAAAAAAATTTAAATTATGGAAGTGATTATAGACATCAAGGTTTCTATTTTAAGACTTGTCATGCTCTTCTAAATCCTTTGGTTTTTCTAAATCCATTGGTAACTCTAAATCCATTGGCTCTTCTAAATCTGTTGGTTCATCAACTAGTATGTTGCCGTTGCTTATTTAATTGTATTTATTTCCTCAACTTGTTGTATTCATTCCTTCCAACCTCGAACTTTTGTTCTCTATTCCTCTACATTTACCTCTTTGAAGAGAAAAAAAAAAAATATTTTATCATTTACTTTCCTTGAGTAATGATTGAAAAAGAAAACATTTAAATTGTCAATTTCATTATTCCAGGCATATCAAAAATAATTTTTGCTCATTAAAAAAATGACACTATTTTTAATTTAGTGTTGAATTTTTTTGTTTTAACCAAACATTTGTAATATTACTTCAAATCTTTCTCGTTTTATCATTCTCAAAATATTTTACATGGGGTCTGACTCTGCACAACTTGTTTGCTACTGAGTATTATATAACTTGCTTATTTCATTAATATAACAATAAATGGTCAGATGCTATTATTGTGTCTTAATCAGTTGGTTGTATGGCATATTGTAAGAATAAACGACAGTGAGTTAGCAAGCCTTTCTTTGATTTATTCTTTGTTTTGAAAACGGTTATGCTACCTTTAATAACAATGGCAGAGAGGGCCCCAGGGAATTTAAGAGGCATTTTTTGATGTGAGATATCTTGGTAATACACCTTAATATTAAGAATGACAATTTCTTAAAGTTGTAGTGCAAACCTTTTATGAAGACCTCATTGTGCAAACCTTTTATGAAGACCTCATAGTGCAAACCTTTTATGAAGACCTCATAGTGCAAACCTTTTATGA